AAAAGAGAAAATACTCAAAAACTAGTGTTTAAATCGACCTTTATGGACTAATAAAAAATAACAGAAATGAAATTTTATATCCAATTATCACTAAAAGCTCACAACCCTAACACTAACCCTAATGTTCTAATTCTAAACTTTCTTAGTTTATTTACAAATGTGATTTCCTTTTTTGGTTTGTATTACTGGCACAAATAAGTAAATTGGCAAAACCTATCCGGTAATATCCAATGTAAACAAAATATTAGCGTTCTCGGGATTCTGTAATCAGATTTTGATGATATTGGGCTCTTTAGAATCATCTCATCGAGACAAACATTTTGGCAGCAAAAGCATCTAAAATTGACCAGTAGGTTACAAGTTATTTTTTGTCAAATATTTGAAGATTTTCATCTTAATTTCCCAAATCTGCCGATATGTTTAGGAGTTATTTACAATTTTTGTTTTCTCATTGAGAAAACAAAAAAATCGTAAATAACTCAATATTTTACTATGATAACCATAGTTTGACTTCTAAACAAAAGTTTTTGGCACAAAATTTTAGATATATGGGTATAACTAAATATTGAATATAAAGTAAATTAAAATCTGCACTTAATCTCTTTCGATTTAGTGATCGATATAACCTGTCACAGATTCAGTACATGCCAATAAATTATGGTATTCGGATTTATTATAAAAAGAGTGTGAATTTATGTGATCTTTATTTAAAGAGGAATTTGGAGAGCGAATACTGTTCTTAACTAAGGATGAAGATACACTTTTGTATACATTTTAATTTTACAGATTGTCAACACAGAAATCTTAACACTTTTTCATATATTTGCTCAAGGCCATATTTGTGTAATCGCGTATACGCGATATTTTGAGCTTGCCATCAATAATACACAATAATGCCTAATACTACTACCGTATTTTCGCGAAATAACGCGCAGGGGTGAAATTACAAATTTCGGCCTAAATTAAGCTTAATTCGGGCCAAACCTCTAAATAACGCCCATGCCCGTTATTTCGCGAAAATACGGTAAGATAAGATTAAACATGGCTATGATAGTACAACTATGGAAGGTAAGTGACAACTTAAAGAATTAGACAAATATGGGAAATGAGGGACACAGGAAAAATTAGTCGCTACAATATATAGGTCGTGCCTCAGACTAACGCTTGCTTCAGATGTCAATCGGCCTAAGTTAGATTGTCCTCTGATTGGCCAGAATCAAAACGGGACGCCAATAATGTATAGAATTTTGATCATGAGATGGCAGGCCTCATAGCGATAGGGACCTATCGTCTTATTTATTGTTTCAAATAACTATATATTATTAACGTTCTCCCTATATTTATATATAATACTGTATATATATTTCATAGTGATAAGACCAACTAAATATATAATAGTTAACGTTTTTATTTGCAGTTAAACGACCAATCACCACATTTTTTGAACAATGAATATTTGAATCAACTGAGTAAAATGGTACAGACATGTGGAAATCAAGTTAATTTGTAAGGCAAAAGTTATTTTTCTTATAATCTGACCTTTACCCTTTTAGAGCTTATACCCGGGTTAAACCCGGTTAAACATTCTCGAACCGGATGACCCGAGTCAATCATTTTCGTGGTATAGAAAGATATACGTTTCATTAAAATATCCATTCTTAACTTTTGACCCGTACGAGTAGGAAATCTCATTTTCTACCATGACAGAACTAAATTCTGCCTGTTTATGCGATAAATTTTTTAGAATCATGCCAGATTCGAATTATGCGATCGCCAGAGTTGTAAATTTACCATAATTTATAAATTTTTATCGTAAGTTATAACAGATCTACCTCCTGAAAATCACCGACAACCATGCTCGTGTTTTGTGTTCGTTGATTGTGCTTTACCGATCCGCGCTATCCCTGCGTACGAGCCAACCCGACCTATAACTGATAATATCTGATAATTTGATGGTAACATATATGATATGTAATCGATACGCATAACAAATTATACGATTGGCTGATTTTATATAATCGATTGTGGTTGGTCAAAAATAATATAAATTTTCTTTTTTTTTTATATCAAGCTATTATAAACTTTAAATTTATAAATTCTTAAAAATCTTTCATAGCTAAATTGTGGCTTAGACTTAAAACTATTAGATTGGCTAAAAAAAATTCTTTCATGCAAATTAATTTTTTTTCTCTAATAAAAATGAGCCGGCAACCCCACTTTAATTTTATTTTTTAAATTTTTTACAACTGTTTTCATAAATTCTGGGATAGCAAAATTTTTTTTCTAAGGCCGAATCGATTCGGTCATAACCAATTTTTTCAAATGTCCATGAATTTATGAAAACGGATGAAAATTTGACCCGGTCGGGTCATGAGGTACAATTAATTAAATTGGTATGACCTAAATTATATCATTTTTATAAAAAGGGTGCTTGATGACGGCCTTTTATTCGCATTTTATTTATTTTTTAAAATTTATTATTATAATAATTAATTTTTCATAGGCCAACCCCGATAAATGATAAATGATAACCTTAAAGCTTTTTCTCTTGACTGCAAATCTAAACTAGATTATCATACTAAATCAAACTATATACGCATTATAAGTCTGGCTATTGTCGATTGTAATGCATTGTAATATAAATAAAATTTTTTTTTACTATTATCTATTACATATATAGTTAGATACATAACATACATATAGTTATTAGCATAGGATATACAAAATATAGCATACATCATAAATGATACATATAGTCTCACCGAATATGAAACCAGATCGAAACTTTTCTATAAACAGTCACTGAAAAAAAAAAATTGCAATGAAATAAATAATTTCGTAATGAAAATCTAAACGAACGATTAACGAAGTATAAAAAGTATATAAAATGAAAGAATATGTTTGCAATGAAAGAGGAATGTTTGTAATAAAAGATATTTGTGCTTGCAACGAAAAAAATGAAAGATGCTTGTGCTTGAAACGAGAGATTTTGTAACGAAAATATATATCCAATAAAATTAAATTAAAAGATAAAAAAACTATGCAATGGAAAAATATTCATCCGAAAGAAAAGAATGTAATAAAAGATGTTTGTGCTTGCAACGAAACAAAGAATATTTTAATGAAAGATGTTTGTGCTTGCAGCGAGAAAGTTTTGTACTGAAAAGATATATCTAGTAAAAATAAAATAAACAGATAAAAAATTATATGTGATGGTAAAAATATTCGTCCGAAAGAAAAAAATTGCCTACACACTTTTGTTTAATATTTGCAATAAAGATAAACGCGCAAACTTATCCAACATAATTAGGATAATCTAACTATCGGAAATGATTGTCAGTTGAGCTAAGTACGTACGTGCGTATGTGTGGTTTTGGGATGCTTCAGTAGAACTATCGTAATTGTAAATATAAAGATGTGGAATTTCGGAAGAGAAGGAATCGTTTAAATCACTATTTGAAAAGGAATATGTAATATTTTGTTCATTATTTTGTGTTATTTGCTCATGAAAATTTAATGAAATTTGAGCATTTTCAGTAGTCTCATGAATATTAATATTAGTAGTTGTAGTATGACTATAAGAATGTGTGAAAGAATCGTTTGAATCGCTAGCAGAAAACGAATTAGAGGATGATGTGGTGTCCTGATCAGAGGGTTGAGCTGACCTAGGCTTTGGACCGCGTTTTTTTCCCGTAATAAAATTACAGGGCAGATTTCGTTTATTACATTGTATGCATTTATCTTCACCAGAAAGTATTGTGCATTTTACATGGTCTTTCCTGCAATTTGTACATGCTGTAGTTGTATGATTACGTGTCTTCTTTTGTGTCATTATTTTATCGCGTAAAGGTTACAACTAGGATTTGATTATTCGAAAAAAGGAGCGAAAGGAAATTATTCAATTCTGAAGTCGATTTACCGTAATTTATATTATTTTTTTTGTGTTATATAACTAATACAGTTGGTATATACAGTATTAAGTTAACTATTTAAGAGTAAATGTTTCTCAATCATCGTACTGTATGCGAGATATACATACGTACGTACGTACATACGTGGCCTACCATACTATTGTGAATCAAGATCGGTATAAAATTTTAGTACAATGTAATATCTTGTAATTCCATACCGTACCGATACGGAAAAAGGTTTTTTTTATTTGACCACAAAATGTCTTTTATTTTATTTTACGTATTTTATACATTTTTGTTTTTTATTTTATTATTTATTTTATTTCATATGATATTTTATTTCATATTTTATATTTTATTTATATTTTATTTTTAATTTAATTTAATTTATTAGAAATATAATAGATGCACCAAACCATTGAATGTATCGAATGTTCAAAGACAATGGGATGTGCCTTGCATGGATTTTTTTTTTTTTATAAAGTATACTAATTACATTTTTATACAGTATTTTATAGGTTCTTTGAACTAATGCAAACGGCAGCACGATCCGATATCAAGATCAGGAGAAACAAGTCCGATTAGTAAGCCCATAATTACGCTTACCCTACAAAAAAAGTCGATCCGTGTTTTATATTCCATGTTTTTTCCGTAAATGTCGCATATTTGCGGAATTTATAACCTTAAATCATGGAGATTATTCTGCTTGTTTGGATTTTATTGATCATGTTGCAGATTCACGGAGTTTTCACAAAAAATATGGAATAATAATAATTATGGCTTTATCAGGCCTACAAAACATATTTGAAATTTAAAAAATTCAGTCTTTATAGGCACGTGGTTTATTTTTTTCTTTGAATAATAAAAGGATTAATAATTTAGGATAAGTTTGGTCGACGGTTTATTGGTAATTAGGCTCTTAAGACTGATAAATTAGAGGAGTGAGCGGTCTTGGACGTCAGGACTTTTTTTCCCCTCTTTTTTACGCCTTCAAGATACCCGTCTATATGGAGTTTCTTTATTACCTTTCATGCGCAAATTTCACAGCCCACAACGGCTAAGCTAGAACGAACCGAATCTCCAGATCATGGTTTTTTTGTTTTCCAGTCAAGTCCTTTTGCTGTTGATCGTTTTCCATTATTCCATAGTACATATATGTCTTTGTGTTTGAAGAGCAGAACACAAGTCGAATAAATAAATGACAGGTAAATAAATTCCCGATATGCCCCCTACGTGCTACTATAGATCCGCCAAATAACCGAACTGTAGCATATTAGTAGTATATCGGGTAATTAATGATAAGATATAGGCATGTGTACATATAGAGGCAAAGTATCAGTAACATATCAGCATTTTACTATTAAATATATGAGTAAGATTGGGAATGCTGATATGTTACTTATATGCACCCATGCTTATAACTTACCATTAGCTATCAGATATACTGGGGGCATATCGGGAATTTTGTAACCCGTTACTTATTCGTTCAACCTGTGGAATGCCCTAGCATCTAAAAATAGCACTAGTAATAATCATACACTAGTTAAAATCAAAAATATCAGCAAAATATCGGTATCTGATAGTTATCTGATATGTAACTTATATGTAGCTTATATGTAACCTAAAACTAGCCTATATTTTATAAGCCAATATAAGCTAGCTTTAGGTTACATATAAGTTACATATAAGTTATATATCAGATACTGATATTTTACCGATATTTTTGATTTCAACTAGTGATATAACCAGGAACTGTTTTATTTTAATTCTATATGTCTATAGAATAATATCGCTTAGTACTATTTTAGATGCTAGAAATACCGTATAGAGCTGCATATAGTATCCCCGGTCTTTTACAAGGAATCCAAGATTAATTAAATAATACTCCCGGGGTACTGTATGAAGAGGAGGATACTATACAAGGGGTACACTGAAGAGAATTTTAATCGTATGAATTGATCATATAACAGAATCATTGATTCGGTTACTTGATTAATACCGAGATACTTTTCAAAATGTTGGGATTTACAATTGAATAGTACCCTGATACTATTTAGAGGGGGATACTTCTTCAAGGGATAGGAAAACTTGCACTCCTGAAATAATTTGGCTTGCCATAAGTTATAATAAATGTTTTCTGGAATATTATGAACTTTGTTTAACCAATTAGATTACGTGGATATAATGTTATTATATTTTTAAAATCAAGGCATGCCTTAATAGATTTAAGAACAGTTTCCTAGTTGTATTTGCATCTAGGGATTGGAACCGTTATTCGTTTAACCCTTTATTTATAATATATACTGTATAATGAGCGTTATTTAGAATAATGGCCCGAATTAAGCTTAACTGGGGCCAAATTTTGAATTATACCCCTGTGCAGTGTTGTCAATTTTCAATGTCCGAGCTATATTTGTCGGACTCGGACATTTTCGGACATGTCCGAGTTTGTAATATGAATTTATTGTATTAGTCTATTTTTTTTGGCAGCATTTATAAAATAAGGTAGCTAGCTGTACGATATTATTGCACTAAAACCAGGAACATAGGATTTTGATTATAGATGCAGACATTTAAAAGGTTAAAGGTGGCTACCTCTTCACGTTACCTCACGTCATATAGGCCTGATCCGGGTCAAAAAATAGTGATCCCGAGTTTGACCAGATAAAGTTATATAGCGTAATAAATGATGTAACAACGGTGCTTCCTTCGTAAATACCTTATTTCGCAGACAATTAGTTTATAGGTAAGTTTTATTTTACAGACAATCAATTCACAACTAAGTTCATTTTATAGGCAATTTATTTCGCCAACAGCTCATCTCATAGACAGCTCATTTCAAAATCAGAAACATGCTTAAGATTAGTGTAAATTATAAGAAAAAAATTGCATATGAATGGGTTGTCGATGAAATAAACTGTCCATTAAACGAGCATTCAGTGAAGCAAATTATAAATTGATTGTCTGTAAAGTAACCTTGTCAATGAATTAATCGCTTGTGAAAGAAGGTGTTTACGAAGTGATTGTTGGTGAAGTTGTATAATAACGGCAGTAATGATAGATAAATTAGTGATTGAACAATATAATATAGAATGTATCATAGCAAGAAACAATGTAGGATAGTTAATTAGAAGTAAAGTGAATAAAAAAGGAAAGAAATTAATTCTCTTAATTTTGATAAAAAAAGATTAATTAAGCTTCTCAAATAGAAATGGACCAAAAATCAGGATTCAGTTTCTTAGTATAATAAAGAAAAGTTAGCATGAAGGCACGAAAAAAATTTTTACTTATCTTTTGCATTATTGCGCCAATATTATCTAGCCACAGTGATGTACCAACCTGGGCACATTTTCTGGATGCATAGAATCATTTGGGCTGCCGTCAATAGAAATAAGGCAGATTGACATTTTAAAAAAAATCAATATCTTAACTTTCACAGCTCATATCTCGATGGATTTTAATAGTTAAAAGAAAGCTTACGATCTATGCTTTCTTTTGAATATTAAATCATCAATATAGCATCAAAATTCATTCTGTGAAAGTTAGGGTATTGATTTTTTTAAAAAATGTCAATCTGTCTTATTTCTATTGATGGCAGCCCATTTGAATGCTGCAAAGAGAAAGTGAAGCTTTGGGAAATTTATCATTCATAATTTATCAGATTTAGCTCATGAGAAATGTTTACTATTCTGTTTTTAAAAGGCCAATCTGGTAAACAATAAAATATTAATTTTCATTTTCCTCGGCAGCACACATATGATAGTTCACAACAAAAGTAATAAATAGAAAAAGGTTCGAGATTACCAATTAGATTTTTAAAGAACCTATGATTTCCCGATAGTCATTTCAGAAAAATATCACGTTTCATCGACAAGCTTATTTTACAGTCGATTAATTTTACAGAAAAGCTCATTTCGTAGACAGTATGTTTCACCGACAGCTTATTTCAGACAAATTTTGAAAAAATTCAATTGAACTATATAGGGAACGATTTTGTTTTATAAGTTATTTATTATATTACACCAATACGTAATTTCATAATAAAATGCCAAGAAATTTTACCAATAGTATTTTATCTTTTTTATCATTATGCATTTTTTATAAACCGCACAACCTTTAATTCCAAACGACAATGACTCGAATTACCATCTGTGAAATGAGTTGTCAGTAAAATATACTGCTGCGAAATGAACTACTGTATTCTGTAAACTAATCGTCTGTAAAATAAGGTTTATTGGCGAAATGAGTGTCGGTGAAATTGTATCTTTGAAGAGTTTGTCTGCAAGTTGATTGAACCGGATTTTCAGGTTTAGTTCAGTAGTTTAGTAGAAGCATATTGTTATTTACAGCTATTTTCATAATTTCTGGGACAACTGATAAAATTTGCCGAACGATTCTTCGGCCGGTCCGGTAAGTTATTGGTTTCAGCATATATGAGAAATATATATTTTCATGTAATAATTTTATATCGACACATCCAACGTTATTAAATTTTCACTTGAATACTGTTTAGTGTGTTTAGTTTGTATGAAAACTTATGAAAAAGATTATTCTTGTCAACCAACAAGAAATATAAAAGCACAGATAAAATAAAATAAAATACTTTCTTAAATTGTTATGCGACCAACCAAACTCAATTTCGGATTGTAGTTTGTACAAATACCGGGGCTTTTCTTTCGTTAATATTTTATATCGTTCGTGTTTAGTAAACGTGGTTTTCTTGAAAGTGATGGAAGTTTTTCAAATATCTTTGAAAGTGATTGAGAACCTGACTTATAGAGGACTTGCAAACACCTAAGTATTTGGCGATTTTTCGAACTTGTAAGCCCTCTAAATTTTTTCACCAATTTGCCAGCGAAAATGGTTTTAAAGTTTCATATTTCCGTATTCAACCAGAGATATGCATATCGATATGTAGTCTTATAATACTGTGTATATCTGATATCCTGTTATTGAATCTTTTATTCCCGAAATCAATAACTTAACTGGATCGGCCGAAAACCATGAAAATAGTGTAAAACTGAAGGTCTGTTTTTTTTTGACAACACTCTATTTGATACTCAATTAACCGGATCAGCTCACTTTTGACCCATGACTCGCATAACCCATCATATTTACTGAGTCGTACGGATCAGTCTGACCCGTAGGAGCTCTAATGAAATATGAATTCTTTAACCAACTGTGTCAGCTTAGAATTTCATTGCAACACGAGTGATTCGGGAATCTGCAATCATTTATGATATTATACATAAATATGATTGGCTGTTTGATTCGTAGACAGGAGTTCGTCTGATTGGCTAATAAAATCAAATTAATTTTACATTTTAAAGTACTTTCTAGAAAAAATAAAACTACGAAGAATAAACAAAAAAGAAACATATAAAAAGTTTTATTAGGGTTGTAGGACTCCACCATCAAATAAACTCAATTAATTTTGGTTTTAGAGAAGTTAGCATGGTAATAACCCATCTTTAAGAAGTCGCTATTATGCTAACTTCTCTAAAACCAAAATTGATTGAGTTTATTTTTTAATGGTGAGTCCTACAACCCTAATAAAACTTTTTATATGTTCTATTTTGTTTATTCTTCGTAGTTTTATTTTTTCTAAAAAATACTTTAAACTGTATAAATAATGCAAAATTAATTTGATTTTATTAGTCAACTTCTGTCTATGACGTTTAGGCAGTATAACTATATGAGTGATGCTAAATTAAAACCTGAAAGTGAATATTCAAGTTCTTACTGTGGTGAACTGATCATATTTGTGATTCAATTACGCAATATTATAATTTTCAGAGTTAAGTTCGTCACAGTGAAAACTTAAATATTCACTTTTTGGTTTTGATTTGGCGGACTCATATATTGTTGCATTAAGAAACTATTTATCGTTATGCTATAAAAATTTTATATACCGTACTTAAGCTGATTTCCAGTTCCTTAAACGATTAAATAAACGGTTATATGATTATGGTTAAACGGCCACGATTATTAATCGTGTAACTTTATAATTAAGCGATGCGATTAACCGCCAGCATAATTTTTCGCACTATTTGCGTCAACCGTCGACGAGTGGAAGTTTATATAGAAAATTTCAAATAAATAAATAAATAAATGAATAAACGGGTATTTATAATTCAATATATAATATATATATCGATATATATATAGTTATGATGACAGATCATTTAGGTGTAACGTAGGTTATTTGATGTGTAACACACTAACTTTTAAAAAGTTGAGCTTCAATCTCTATCGCAATAAAATTTAATTTATAAATTTTCCAAACATGAGTTATATTAAAAATGCATTAAAAAATGCGCGAGAATCGATTAATGCCAAGAAATATGAAGAGGCAATAAAGCATTGTGAAAAAGTTATACAATTTGAAGCTGATAATTATAATGCGTAAGCTAACTTTTGATTTTTTGTTTCTTATAATTTATAATTTATGTTTACTTATTTTCATCGATGTTTAGATATGTGTTTCTTGGAATTTCATATTTAAATTTGCAACGAATTGATGAAAGCAAACAAGCTTATCTTCGTGCTGTTGAAATAAATACATCACAACCTCTTGCTTGGCAGGTAATTCAAATCAAAAGTTGCGCATTATTTTATAGCCTAATTGATGTGTTTATTAAATAGGGCCTTGCAAATTTTTATGAAAAACAAGAGGATTGGACGAATCTGGGTGAAGTCTGGGTCCAATTATTGAAAATTTATAATGAAAGGTTTCTAATATCTAAATTTTTTTGACTTCAAGGTTATTCTTACGTGAATCTAAAATAGGTGTTATTGTTTTTTTTAAACACAGTAATGATGGGCAGAAAATTTTAGATATTATTAATAAACTTGTTGATTTGTATACGAATAGAGTAAAAGACAGAAGATCGGTATTTAAATCATTTATATGAAGGGTCTTCATTTTCAAATCTTGTAATTATGCAATAGTTGAGTAATTATTTTCTAGTTAGTAGCAGCTCTAAAATATTATTTACCATCGAGCCCCTATTATGAAAATGTTCGAAACCTTAATAATTTACCATCACAAACACAAATATTACTACAAATAATCGAATTATTGGAAAAAGAAGAAATAGAAAGCATTCGTCACGAGATTGAAACTAGGAGGAAAAGACTTGATGCTGGTCCTCAGGCTATTATTAAAGCTCAGGTTGAAAGTGAGGTGTATAGCAATTCAGAAGTATGTTTAAATGTGGAGCTTCTGCTTGATTTTTAATTGTTTTTGCCACGTCAATAAGAATTAAAAACATTATTATATTAGTTGGATCAATATTATGACTCTTTATTGGAAATCGCGGATAATTCAAATATTCCCGGAATAAATATCGCAGATTTGTCGGTCAAATATGTTGAACATCTCAGAAAGAAACTTGTTTCAATCTCTTCCGAAAATAAACAAGCTGTACGTCATTTTTATATTTTAATTATATATATATTTATATTAACGAAATTACTACATTCAACTACATTAAATGAATACTTGTAGTTGAGAGAAAAGCTCTTTAAGTTAACTCAACGGCTTGTTGAACAAGATACAACTTCATCTATACCTTATGAAATACTTATTGAAAGCACCAATGCTGGTTCCGCAGGTAATAGATTGGTCCATAATATAGATATAAATAAACTTTCAAATAATGTTTATTTGAATTTTTAAATTAGATGAGTATGATATTAATCTGTTGGAACAATATTCTGAAAAGTTTCCGGATACTGAATTGTCCAAAATAATTCGAGTATATTTCAAATCTAAACAAGATGACGACGATACCGAGGCTAACGAATTATTAAATGTATGTATGGATCTATAATAATTCATTAACTAATAACTTTCATATCTTTAGCTGACAGTTTATTATTTAATTAGGATGAGTTTGAAAATTCAAATAGTATATTTGGTAGTATTGTATTGAGCTGGTTAAATCATGATCTCAAAGATTATGAATTAGCTCTAGAATATGCAAGTAATGGTCGTAAAATGGTGATTCAGTATAGCAAAAGCATGGGATATACATTAGATAGGTAGGATATTTGAGAAAAAATGTTTTTTGAATATCTCATATTTACTAAATAAAATTTATTTTTGCTAGAGTTTTGCAATCTTTAGAATTGTGTATGGCAAATTGTTATCTTAATATTGATGTCAAGTACCATACGGATGCGTTACAGCTTTATCAAAAAATTTTAAATAAGGATCCAAAAAATATCCATGCTCTTCAGGTAATACAATACATTCAACTGTTTTTCATAATATATTTTGATGTTTAATTAAATTATTTTAAATTTTATTTTAAATAGGGTGTTGGAATGATATTGTCAGCACAAAAGCAATTCGAAAAATCCATTGAAATATTTGAAAATATACTACAACTTGACTCAGAAAATTATATAGCTAAAAGTGAAATAGGATGGATCCATTTTTTAACAGATAACTATGAAGAAGCCACCAAATTAACTTTGGATGCTATTGACATGTACGATGGAAGTGCACTTTGTTTCTATCGTTTAGGCAGAATATATTGGGCTATGGGAGGTAAGAATCCTATTTAAATTAAAACTTAAATATAATGAAGACTTAATTGATTTTGTTTAACAGATCAATACCGTAAAGACAAGAACCACGCATATGCGCAGTTCATTCAGTCTGTAAAGCTTGATCCACACTTTGAAAAATCGTTTACATGCCTCGGACATTATTATCGAACTATCGAGAATGATCATGTGCGCGCAAAAAAATGCTATCAAAAAGCATTTTCGATTGATGCTCGTGATGAGGAAGCAGGGTCAGAATTAAGTGAATATTTCCAATCGGAAGGTGAAGAAAATATTGCAGAGGGTATATATCGTACTGTAATTAAAGCAAATTGTAAGGCTGGATGGGCGTGGAAGCGACTAGGGTTTGCAGAGTTGGTAATATAGATTTGTATATCGTAGTGCACTGACTAAAAATACTAGTTTGCAACCCATAGAATTTTTATCAATCAGTTGCGGTTTTTTTCAGAATTATTGGTTATCTATTGTAAATGGTATACTTTAAAAATTTATTTATGATGACTGTAAATCTTTTGCTATACAAAATATCCAGCCAGGCCAGATATTTAGGAATTTATTTGTCTTAGGTCCTAAGCCTTTTAGTCATTGCACTACGGCAATTCTGTTGATCTCTAAGTTCTTTTAATATATGAATAATTTAAATTTCTCAAACTGTAGGCCAAAGGAAATTATTTAGAAGCAATAACAGATTTCCAGACCGCTTTGAGAACTGATGCCAAGGATATCCGTTGCTGGGAAGGCCTTGCAGAAGCTTATCGTCGTGAAGGTCGATATACGGCATCAATGAAAGCTTTTTTACGCGCAACAGAGTTGGATCCTTCATCAGTATATGCACATTATCAGATTGCTACAATAAAGCAAAAATTGGGCATGTATAATGATGCAATCATCCAATACAACTTGACTCTCGAAAAAGCGGAATCTAAAGGTGAACATAATCACATGCCGTCGTTAGAGGGTCTTGGGGATTGCTATTTATCTTTATCCAAGGAATATTTTCACACCGGATTTTACGGTTGTGCAGCTGAATCATTAGGTCTTGGTATCACAGTAATGGCACGTGCTATAGAGACAAACAGTAAATATCAGTGTTTCTGGAAATTAATCGGTGATTTTTGCATCATCTCAACATCATTGCCGAATTATTTACACTTGATACCCTTGGCTCTGATTAAAAGTCTTATCGGAATTGCCAAACAATTGGATGTAGATGCTAAATTACATCTTCCTAAAGACATTGATAATATTGAGTTTATTCTAGATTCTGATGAAGTCAGTTTAATAAATTCTGATAGGCTTCGAATCATTTTAATTTGTGGCTGTCTTTCATACAAATACGCCATAATATTAAGTAGAAATCGACCTGATACTGCTCCTGCATTGTGGTATGATCTGGGTGTGGCCTATTATAAGTCGTATGAACATTGTTCTAAAAATATTGGAGAAAATATAGATAATAATATCCACGAAACATCAGCAGCAAATTATTTGAGTGTTGGAATTAGGTGTATTAAGATAGCATTGAAATTTGAACCAACGAATTTCCAATTTTGGAATTCGCTTGGCATCATGACTCTTTTGGCAGACACCAAAATTAGCCAACACGCGTTCATTAAGGCAATTGAATATTCTCCAAAAGTAAGTTGAGTGGATTTTTATTGTTGAAACCTTGTTAAATAATGTGATAGTAACTTTATTCACGCTAATTCATAGAGCCCCGTTCCGTGGACAAATCTCGGGCTCCTATATTTATTACATTCCGATTTAGACCTTGCCAATCAAGCATTTTCAACGGCTCAATCCCTTGATCCGGATTATGCACCAGCATGGGTTGGACAAGCTTATGTCGCAAATCTATGGGGAAGTAATGAGGCTGCTGAATTGTTTGAACATGCTTATGAAATTAGTGGTGGTGGTCATTCGGCATGTTATCAGTTTCATGTAATTTAATCTGATTATATTAATCTGCTTATTAATCACGAATCTAATTTTTTATAGCTCGAAGCGGATTATGGTTTTGCATATCAGGCATTTACACGCTACAAAAATTCACCATCAATACAAAAATCTTTGTTAATGTCACCCACTTTTGCATTACAAAAACTTTCAGAACAAAGACCGGATGATGCAGCATCATTAAATCTATTAGGCTTATTACTTGAACGGCTTAATCGACCAGATAAAGCTGTTGATGCATTCACTGATGTGATCGTTGCAATTAAAAAATCAATTCAAAAGGAACAGCAGTCAGCAACATTACATAAAGATTCGCAGGAAGAATCACTATCAAACCTAACATTATTATTTCGAAGGCTTGCATACGCACATGGAAATCTTGGGAGAGTACTTTGTGCAACACGTAATTTCTCTGATTCAATCACGGCATATACGGAAGCTTTGAAATTAATTGAGCAACTAGAGAATGGTTCATCAGCTTCAATTATATCGTTTAGAATATATACAATGTTAGGAGCGGGACTTGCTTATTATTTTAACGATGAATTAGAAAATTCTCTTCAAATGTTTGAATCTGCTCTCAATGAAGCTGATGACCCTGAACAGGAATCAAGCGTTGCAGAAGTTAAGAAAGATGTAGTTGTTTTAGTATCGCAAGTACTTTGGGCATTGGGTGCTGTCGAGCATAAAAACTTGGCAAAAGAAGAATTGTTTAGATGGTCGGCCATGATTTATTTAATATTATTATTTTATATTTTATTGCATACTTTATATAAGTGTATTAATATTCATTAATCCCGGTACTTAATAGTATTTCACAAAATCCACAACATCTTCCTGCTATATTTGGTCTGTGTGCTATAGGGCTATTGCAAGATAACGATACTCTAGCTGCTGCTGCATTAAAAGAGATGGTTAAATTACCTATTAAAGTTGTTGGTAAGGATTTATTTGGTTGGTTATATTGTCGATATCCCTAAATGTAGGCTCTTTGAAAATAATGCAATTGCATTTAGATTTACACATATAAGTAGTAATTAGACTAACTAGCATGCCTTTCGCATGCATGTATAGTGTGCATTATTGAGAAGCATTTAGGGAGATCTGGCCATGCTATTTCCCCGAAACATCATCACTATATTTGATACATACCCAAAATAAGCATCCCTGTAAATCATTTATTAATAATTTTTACTAAGAAATTCTCTATTAAAAAGTTGTGATGTTTGGGGAATATATATTATTTCTAATCTGTTGTTACCGTACAAGCGCGAAATAACGCGCAGGGGTGTTATTTTGAATTTTGGCCCGAATTAAGCTTGATTTAAGCCAAAATTGAAATTAAACCCCTGCGCATTATTTCGCGCTGGCATGGTAAAGGTATTCAAACAGCAGTTAATTTATTGAATTTATTGTCTGAAATCAAGATAAATTGGACAAAGGACGTGACATAGATTTCTTGCATAGTAGTTACTTCTTGCTAAAGGTGAATAATCTATACTTGCTCATACATTATAAATCTATTGCTTAATCAAATTTTTTCTTAGGATTCACCCGAAGAAGCTACACAATTTCTTTCTAAATCAATTCTCCTTAGACCTCATGAACTAATCAATTGGACATGCTTATCAAATCATCTTATATCTCTTTCGATACCATTTACTTCTACTTCAATAGCTGGTTCCGCAATGGAATTAATATCAAACCCGTTGTCATCCTTATCTAGACAATTGTCAACTAAAGAAAAAGCAAAGGTATATCAAAACTATGCTTCGTCTTTGTTGATTTCTAGGCAAGCTTTAAAGCAAGACTTAGTTATAACGGGAAAAGATGTAAAAAATAGCGTTGTAATTAAAGATCCATTTGATGATAATGAGGATGATGGCTCCAAAGATAGAAAAAGCAAAGAAGGCAATAAGGATAAAACGGGAATCCATAAAGATTTAAAAGTTAAATATGAAAAACTTGGGTTAGAAGCATTAGAAATTGCTCAACGAGCTGTCAGAATTGCACCATGGGATTTGGTTGGATGGTCTTTACTTGCCATGGCTTATAAAGAGAGTGTATAAATTATAAAATGTTTGAACATATTTTTGCTGTATAATATTTTTTTAATGAATATCTTTAAATTACATACTAAATACTATTTTTTTTTTTTTTAATGAGTTTGTACAAGGTGTTTGGGCTATTAATAAAAAATTTACTGAGTTGTTTGCTGTATTAAGAGTTCATTAGTAAATTCCACTATTTGACATTGTATACTTTTATGAAATACAAAGCAATTACAAATTTACTATTAAAAAAATTTTTTTCACTTGTTATATGAGGTTGCGATCTAAACAACTTTTTGAATTGATGAATTTTATGATAACAACATACAGAAATAACAAATTAAAACTACTAAAATAAAATGTTATTTGTTTAGCGTCTTCAAAGGTTTTCTTTTTTATTTCGATTTAATAAAGTATTATTCTATAATAAATTTTTTTGTACAAATAAAATTATAAATGAAAAAGTAAACTTTCTATGCAAATTTATATTTATTATTACTCTAATTCTGAAATATTACTAAAACAACTATGATAAGAATTATTAGATTTCAAACTCTTAAAACTGATCTGCCTTGATGGTTCTGGCTTTTTTGGCATTGATACATTATTATTAAAAGGAACAACGTGTTCATCATTATAATTCATATTACATTCATCTACGCAACTCTCATGTTCGGATTTACTCCCTTGTAAAGTTTGATCAGATGAAATTGCTGTAGTTTTTGAATTAATAGAATCTGAAGACTGTTTGTTACGAATAGCAGGGAAAAATCTGCTACCATTTATGGCTTTTATTAATCGAAAGTCAATTCTTTTATCATGTGATAACGAGTCACCATTACCAACGGTGGAGGACGTTGCTGATAGATGAGTAAATGTTGGTCCATTTGGTGCTGGGTTATATGTGCTATTATTTTATGTATAACTAATAATTTAGTAAAGATGAAAATTATAAATCTCTAAATGATAAAATTCTTAGGGACTTACTTGTAAATAAAAACAGCTTGTGTAATGGAAAGTAAAATAGGAAAGGAAAAATACCAAACGAATAAATAAAATAAGTCTATTCCAGAAATGAATATTGTAATGTTATGTTGCCATAATCCATATGCGAAAGCCATTATAGTGTACGACCCATTTGCTATTACGAACGTTGCTGCTATTATTGACAACTATTAAATTAGAGGGATAATAATGAATGGAAGTATATATATATAAAATGGAATAAATAAATACATTCGGGTATAAAGCATAAATAAATATAGCATTTTTTTCTTATTGATTAGCCTACATTCTTGATAGCCCTTACAATCATCTTTACTTTCCACTCGATGTCATAGTCACTAGATTGTTGTCGTTCCTTTAATTCTCTCATATGTAATCGAAGTATTAAGCTCAATTTATACCAGAAATAAACGACAATTGTAACATAAAAGCATCCCCAAGCAGACCAAATTAAATAGTGAATTTTGAAATATTTATTTGCTAACAATGTCGCATTCTCTCTGGTAACCATTGAACCATGCGTTTCAGGTAAGAAAGAACCTGAAGATGATAATGGAGGAGCACCACGATCAGCATAAAAACCCGTCATGTAGGCTATTGGAAGTATTGTTATGAACGGGCCGAATATTAATGTGAAGCCTATTCCATCGACAAAGTATTTATTAGGAATCCATTTTACTGTACGAGTGCCTATCGTTGGAGTAGAATATACTTTTTGTGGGATGATATATGCGTATGAAATGATGGTTTGTAGATACATACTAAGAATCACGAAATAAAATTTAAAATTTTACATCCTTGTAATTGAAGTAATAAGAAATCTATACCAATGCTAACTGGTAACAACACAGCCAATCCAAATCCAATCATTCGTGGTATATCTTGACCAACTGTCCACCAATACACAAGTTAATAATATTTAAAAAGTAAAACTTTGAATTTTCTTAATACGTACTCTCAGCTGTTTTGGTGTTTGGATACATTGATGTTATTAATAGGATGATGTGAATAATTTGCGCTATTTCAATAGAAATGAGTATAATGTTACATATTTGCAAAAAAAAAAAATCCTGAGTAAAAACTTTGATGGCATAGAAGTAGTATCATGAAAAAAATGCTTACAAGATCCATAAACAACCGTAATGATATGAAAAGCATCTTGAGGTCTAGGTCTAAGAATACCTCTATTTCGTGTAGGAGCAAACCACACTGGTTGCTTTCTTATAAAAATCCTCGAGTATATAAAACATCCACTAAGCAGAATGTTTAAAATAGTAATCGCCAACAAAACATAATACATATTAAGAATGGTTTTTGATTCAGGACATCCATATGCATTGATACGAAAATCGCATTTACAATCATTTTGACGTAATGTTAATGTGAACGAAAATATATTAGAGGCATTTGTATTTCCAAGAGTGAGGGCATCAAGAGCAGGTTGATCTTCCAAACATACTAATGCAAAGTTGTTTATTAATCGTACCATTATTGAAATAGTGCTAACGAATGTAAAAAAAAAAAAAATCAAATAATAAAAGAATATATTATTAATTTAAGCTCTATAATTTATAAATCATGACTTAATTCTGAATATTGAAACTAAACTGGTTTAAGAGAAACCGACATATATAATAAAATGGTATGAATATAAAAAGAGGAAAAAAAAAAATTGAGAATACATTAACCGTTGTATGATCAAATACTGAAATAGCTTACATTTAAAAAAAAATATTATTAGGTAATAATACCCGCACATGAGATCTTTCAAAATTGTTAAGGAGCATGGGTCACAACCGATTAGAAACCTCCTATTAGTTAAATGCGCTATAATTATTCTTTTGCGTAATCATTGGATTTTTCCGACTTAAAGCCATATTTCCGAGTAGAGTAAATTTTTCTTTTTCGTTTCGTCATGCAATTACTTAATCGGTTCTTGTTTAACGTAAACGCTTTTTAAGCACTTGTAATACAATTACGTAAATTCATCAGAACTTTTCGTTACTGGATTAAGTGCATGTTATAAATATCGTTCTCGGGTATAAGAAATTCTTTACATATTCGTACGTGCGCAAAAATATCGTTTGTTACATAAAAATCGAGACGATCACAGTGATTTACAATAACATAACGCGCCAACCTAGATTCTATTACATAATGTCAACAATAGCGTATTTCATTACAAGAGGTGCAAGATTTGTCAATCAATTCTAGAAATGATTCTACAAATCGGAATATATTAAAAAGAGGAACGACAACACCACTTTTATTTCTTTCTGAAGTTAGAGCGTATTTTAAAAAAATAATTACAGAGGTTTTTTTGCACATGATTTAGATCGATAACAATAATATTAAATTTTATTATATATATATATTTATTATTTTCTTACGGTAAACCAATCTATTATGGTAATAGTAACTCTAGTGCACAATTGTGATACGTACTAACCGCCAGAACCCGCGGCTGTATGTTTACTATTTTGGTAAATCTACATAGCGACAATTTCTAAATTTATATAACAAAAATAGGTTGTATGTAAACATCTTCTATTCATCTATATATAAAAGAATTTTGTTTACTTTGAAAGTTATTACTGTATTACTGATAAAGATTTCACATTATTGAAGAGCAAAGACTAATACCATAAAATAGAATACCTGATAATTATTAAATGTTGATTTATTTAATCATAAATTTTAAGAGTTCGAATTTTGAAGAGTTCTTTATTTTTGTGTTAGACTAAGATCATAGGGTGGATGTGGAAATATGCATTACTATTGTTATTTTTTGAATTCTTTCTACAATGCGTTGTTTGCATTAGTATGTTTACTTTATGCACCATTTTGTTATGTGGCTATGTATATTTAGAAATAAAGTTTTGCAAAGCATTATTTTGCAGGGAGGCTTTATTACCCCTTTTGTCCCTCATCGAGGGGTGATACAAGGCAATATTCAAGACAAACAAACGCAAACCACAAAGACAAACGGAAACAAAATGGAAAACAACGCAAAAACAGAAAGAAAATCAATTATGGGTTATCTGTCCCTTCCGCACGACGTGCTATACATGCTGTTCTACAAAAGCGC